AAAATCTAAAGTTAGCCTGGTGTCAATGGCCACGCCTATAATCCTAGCTACTCAGAAAGCTGAGATCTGAGTGTGGCAGTTCAAAGCCAGCCTTGGCAGGAAAGTCCGTGAGATGCTTATCTCCAATAAACCACTCAGAAAACCAGAAGTGGTGCTATGGCTCAAATGTTAGAACACTGGCCTTGAGCTGAAGAGCTGAGGGACAGCATCCAAGCCCAGAGTTGAGGCCCCATAACCGACAAAAAAAGTAAAAACATAAAATAAAACCTAAAATTATTAGGTGACTCTTCCATGTGCTCTAACATTCACATAGAAGAAACCATTTTCTTGTATCTTCACCGGAGATATGACCAGTCATTAATATGTGTGTGCATATGTGTAGGTGTGTGTGAGCATGTGTGCAGAGGCAATAATATGAGACCATTTTATAATACTACTCACAAGTGTGGCTACTTACTCAAATTTGAGTCAAAAGTGTCATGAGGATTGTGCTTCTGGGTTCCATAACTTGGAGGTCCAAGTGGAAAGTCAGGTCTTGATCCCCAGCATGTCAGTACAGAGAGGAGGTCTGTAGAGCACATGGGCAACAAAGATGGCGCTAAGAGGGGGTTGAGTGGGCAGAACCCAATTTACTGTAGAGCACATGGGCAGCAAAGATGGCGCTGGGAGAGAGTAGAGTGGGCAGAGCCCAACTGACCTTCCGATCAGTGCCTAACCACCCTGTGAAGGCTTAAGTGCATGATAGGGTGTGACCTTGACAGTGATTGGCTCCTCTTCCTCCCTTGCCATGCCACCCACCCTTTTTGGATTTAAAAAGGGCTGCTCTCGGTTAATAAACGAGTTTTCTACCTGCTTGATTTGGCTTTCTGCTGTGTCTGATTGTCTCCCAGGCTGAGGGAGGCTGGGGAACGGGCAAGCACCACACTTACCTGTCCTCGGACAACGTCCGTCTTTCATGGGACGGACAAAGACCCAACAGAGGCCAACGTTTAGAATGGGCCTGGTGGGAGGGGTGCAGACCCTGGGCCTGGAGTTGAACAGGACAGAGCCTCCCTCAGGATCAGAGACCCTGATGTCGACATTTAAAGTGCGTGTGTGTCTTATTTTAAAATCTTAGCAGAACACAGAGGTGCTGCACTGTGGGTCTGGGTTGGGGGTGTCTGCCTCTGAAATGTCCCTGGTTCTCCTTTCTGTTTTCCTGGTCAGCAGCCCCGGCCTCTCTCTGTCCACAGCAAATCTTAGGCTTTGTTCCTCTGGCCACCACCATACTGCGGCACCTCCTAATAGAACTCTCTGTTCATTACCCATTGATTCTTTATGACTCCATTATCCTGTTTCCTCTTCTCATGTTTTATTAGAAGTAATCAAAGAAAGCAATCCTGAATGCTTGACACTGCTGAGAGATTCAGACTCCCATAAGCTTGCTGGCCTACCCTAGGTGGACTTCTACAGCCATCCATGATGTGAATGTACTTCAGCCACTTCTGCCATGTTCTCCCAAGGATGTCCTGTTTGTTCTATTTGGTGTCAGTCAGTCTGTCTTCCCATTCCATCCTGTCCACAGTCATTACAGGAAGACAAACAAGGACTGTGGACACCGGGCCATGCAAACCATCCACCTTCTCCAGATAGACGAGCCATGCGTGATCCCCAGGAAGATGCATCCAGCAGCGTGGCTGAGCCCACAGTGCACACGCAGCCATTTGCAGTTGCACACACATGAAAGCGAGTGTGAACATGAGTGTGTTGAGTCAGACACCGGATCTGCTGAGCACTCACCTGATCCAACCTGAGTCTGAGGAGCCTTGGCCTGTGCAGGAGGATGGAGGCCTGGTCCTGTCAGCTGTGAGCTCATGAGTCTGCTGTCACCACTCCATTCACAGCCTGGTCCCAATTCTGTGCTCACCAGGAAGCCCTGTGAGTTTCTGTCCTGAACTGGCTGGGAAAGCACTCACTGAGTAGCCCTGATCTCTCCAGACCCATCCTGGGGCCTGTGGCAGAGTCATTTCTGCCATGGCCCTCACTTCTCTGTCAGGCCCCTGCCTGGTGTTCAGATGGAAGGAGCCCAGCCTCTGTGTCCGTGCAGCAGCGCAGGGCAGACACCAGCTGGGATCCTGGGAGCCCTGTGAGGGTGGAGGCCAGACCCCAGGGCCACCTCCTCACTCACACCTGCAGCGGACAGGGGCTCAGCGCCCCCTGCTGGCCTAGGCTGCGTGCATGTTTGTGTCTGGGCTCCCACTGGGCTCCTCTCACTGTGTCTCTTGCACAGTAATACAAGGCCGTGTCCGCGGTTCTCAGGCTGCTCATTTGCAGGTACAGCGTGCTTTTACTGTTGTCTCTGGAGATGGTGAACCGGCCCTTCACAGAGTCTGGATAGTATGTGCTACCGCCATCTGGATTAATTTGTGCAACCCACTCTAGCGTCTTCCTGGAGCCTGGCGGACCCAGCTCATCCAGTAATTACTTAAGGTGAATCTGGAGGCTGCACAGGAGAGTCTCAGGGACCCCCCCAGGCTGCACCAAGCCTCCAGCAGACTCCACCACCTGCACCTCACACTGCACACCTGCAAACACAGAGAATCCAGGTCAGCAATGGTCACGCACATCCACCATTCCTCCCACTCAGCTCCACTCACACACTCAGTGTCCCTTCTTCTCTGCAAATTACCTTGTAAAATGGCCACAAGGAAAACCCAGGTCAGAGCCCCCTCCATGGTGGAGGTCTGTGCCCAGTGCTGATCTCAGGATGGACCCCCTGGAAGTCAGGCCTGACCTGCAGAGCTGCAGCTTTTCATGAGCAGAGGGAGGCCCCATTTGCATGTCCTCTTGGTATATAGCCAGCTCTGGGATGGAATCTGAGCAAAGGCAGTGCAGAGAAGACAGGAGAATCAGGAAGTCAGCAGTGACAATGATTACATGGAAGAGAACACAGACCTCATCCCACAGCAGAGCGAATGCTTTAGGAGATCTCATCTTACTGCATTTTACACAGCACAGTCAGTCATCACTCACATTAGGTGTCATGATGTGTGCATGTGTCACATTGTTGGGGGTATGAATTTGTAATAGAAGAGTCTCTTGATTGCTAGAGAGGTGCACTGCCCCTTGAGCTGTGTGTCCAGCCATTTTTGCTGTATTTTTCTTTAGTGATTTGGGGCTATGGCCATGCATTTTTCCTGGTGGTATGGGCGGTGTTCTCCTATCTGTGCTTTCTGTGCAGCTGAATGGATTGCTGTGCAGGACCGTGTTTATCTCTGGGCTGACACTGTGTCTCTGGGACTGGCTCCAGTCATTCCTGCCAGTCTCCCCTACCGAGGAGGGGCAACCAACCCATCTGACCATTTTGTCACTTTTAAACTATGGAAATGCACTTATTTTATTTGCTGCAAACTTGTTCAGCTTTACCACACAGAGGACTTGT